GAGAAAGTCTAGAAGCTCAAGAGTAGTGGAGGCGATCGAAACGGTGGAGAGAAATGCAACCATGTCGCGGGATTCTGATTTTTGCGTGGCACTTGCTTCAAAATTGAAGATTGTCAAGAATGGAGAAGATGCGAGCGGATCTTCTAGGTTTTGGGAGGAACTCGTTAGGAAGACGAGGCTTGAGGAAATGTCCACTGAGCATTTCAATCCCATTGATATCCCATTGATGACCTCAAAGATGAGCTTTGCGCCAAGGAGGAAACGCAATCAGGTACGGCGGTGAGGAAACTTCTTGAATCGAATTCTCGTGAAAGGGTATTTGACACCTTCATTGAATTGGTGGATAGCCTGGACAAAGCTTATGTTGCGATACATCATTCTTGCCTCCAAGACCAAAAGTTCAGAAATCAATTGTTCCCATGTGAAATTAATTGACGTTTTCGACTGGAGATTTTGTGAATGAGCTTGGAAGAGACGATGCAGAATAGTTACTTGCGGCAATTTGAGGTGCGCCTTCTCACAGAGAATGGGAATATATGGGAATGGCAACAAAGGGATTACAGAGACTCCTTCCCGGCTGGGATTGTAGGGTTTTTCCTGCCAGTATAGGGCACTTTGATGCACTACCCAGTCCAGGGTGATTGCCAGGCGCTGCTCTAAAGAACCTTCTGCGTCAGATGCATGAAGACACCCCGTGCAGAATTGGAGGAATGGCAGGAGTCCTGCATGATCAAGCTTTTCATCCATATCCTCAAGCACAGCTTTAAATCCAACTGCCAAGCAAGGCTCCTGAAAGCGAAGAACTGAAGGAGCCAAACGGCAGGAATATACCCTTTTTCGGGCTCCTGGCCCACCTCCTGAGGTTCGGTGGTTAGACCCCCCTGGGCACCCCACCCTACCCACCGAACCGAGTTTCGGAGGGGGCGGCCAGGAGCCCTGGCGAGATGTTCCGCTCCACTGCCACGGTCTTTGGGCCTGGTCTGTGGATCTCTTCAGCTCAGTCAGCCAGTCGATGGTCTCCCGTTTGAGATCCGTTTTCGTACCGAACCTCAGGTACGGCACGACCCGGCTTGCTGGCACCCACCCAGTCCCACCTTCTGAGAAGGCACGACTGGATCCCTAGGGTCTATATTAGACTCTTGATTCATAAAGCACCCAATTGAAATGGAACATCCTCTTCATATCCGGTGGTTTATGAATCAAGAGTCTACATTAGTTCAAGTCGACGGGTACCTGATTTCGATCAATATTTCACTTGGTCCGGCATAATACCCTGATGCCCACCGCTGGCCCTCGCCCCAGGCCTGTCGCCCTTGCCCTCGCTTTGCGAAGTCCGCAACGGGCGTGCGGCGCTTGGTGGGGGATGCCCAGACGGAGATTGTGTTGCTGGGGAGGCCAGGAATATGTCGATATTGAAAAACTCAGACGTTGACATTGAAATCCGATGTTTTGTAGGATGTAGGGATTTGTACAGGAGATACATAGTTTCATTGGCGTTTGCCCAAAGCCTCGAAGTGAGCAAGTATACTTGATACCCCTCCAAACCGAACTGGAAGAACACAAGCTTGTAGATGCAGCCGTAGGCTGGACCGACTCTGCTTTGTAAAAAGTAATAGACTAACTACTCTTTGACACTGAAATGAATGTTCAGTGCCCTTTCAGCTGCAACGACTAGAACCGTTCTTTAGAACATAACCGTGAACATTTGGTAAGAGTTGACTAGACATGGCTCACCTGGTTGAGCACCTGCCCACACTGAAGAAGGCAATTGGAAAGGCTGGCCACTCGTGCATTTGATGCAAACCTGATCGCATGCGGTCGTTCTAGCTCCACATAGTATCTCAAATTGTACTATCCCTATGCCTCCAGTCGTACCTTCTGAGAAGGTGGGACTGCGGTGGGTGCCAGGAGGGTCCAGTCATACCTTCTGAGGAGGTACGAAAACGGAGGTGTAGGGTATATGGTATAAGGAACCAGGGTTTCTAAGTCTGTCGCATAGGGTCCAGGTACCTCCGTACTTCGGATGGTCGTTGCCGGAGGTGTTCCGTACGTACGAAACCAGGTCTTTCATGGTCGTTGCCGGGGGGTCGAACGCAGGACATCCGAGCTTCCGGATGGTCGACCCTTAGGGTGTGGTTTCGGTCTTTGGAGCCCGTACTAACTATGGTAACTGGGTTCATGGGATAGATGTTTGGACCTAACTCTTCCGGAAGCTGCACAGACAGAACCGTTTTTTCTTGGCTGCGATAGATCGAAGCCAGCGGAGTTGGAAGCCGGACTCGTCCAAGTGCCATGACTCGTCCAAGTGGAAGAAAGGCGGCCAAGAGTCTTAAGAGTTGTTTTGCCAGCCACACCGGGAATGTGGAGAATGAGGGGTTGCCCACCTGGGTCGCTCGGTGTGATTTGGGAAGAGAATCAAACACCGCCGCTTTGAACTGCCCCTATCCTGCCCTTGAGTTCTCCCATCTTCCACCATCTACCATCTATCGACCTCCGCAGGTGCGCGAGATGCTGGAGAAGACGCCGCAGCGGCGTCCAGGTTCCCAGCGAGTTTCGACAAAAGTGAGTGGTCCAGGTTCCTCACAAGGTGGAGGACGTTCTTCGGATGCTGGCAACATCCGGACAAGAAGATCCATGGGTGGTTCAAGGTGGTTCTAATACCCTAGGGATCCAGTCGTGCCTTCTCAGAAGGTGAGACTGGGGTGGGTTTAGAGGGTCCAAATACCTTTTGAGGAAGTACTTGGATCCCTAGGGATAAGATGCGAAAAGCGGAAGGTGGTTCTTTTGGTAAAGGTCGACATTCCCGTCCCATGAAGGGTTGTTTGGAGTCGCATGATGTTCTTCTCCACGCCGTGAAAAGGATTTCCAAGCTTGCTCTTGCAGAACTGCTCTGTAGATACAACTTGGTTCTTTCAAATCTTGCAGCTCCTAGGTTGATCCAGCTTCCCCAGACCTGCATTCAACTTGGCTCCCAGGAGCCGTCGAGAGACCTGCGAGACTCCTGCAGCCATCAACTCTATCAACTCATCACAGTGTCACACATGTGCGTTGAACATCGACACAATCCAACTTTCAGGCAGCTGTTTTTTTTCAGAACGTTGAGAGCCAACAGAGCTGTGATGTGCGCCCCTACATGCTAGTTCTCTAGCAAGCATGTTTGTTCGGATTCGGATAGGATTTGTTTTCCGTGAGCAGGGCCAACAGAGGTCCTTCAGAACCCTATAGATCGACTATCCCATAATTAGGTGTCGCAGTTGTTGCGGGTCCATGCGGGTCCTATTTACGGTCACTTAACCTCTCTTGTATATCCGACTTCGATGACCATTAAAACAATGGTTGACCTCTTTTTTTTGTTGAAGGTCCTTTTCTCATCACCAAACGCCTGACTCTTGGTGCCGCAGGGGGAATGGCGCTAGCTGAAATGCGAGAATCAACAAAACAAGTCCTCCGAATGCAAAAATGCAAGCCCTTATTTGCACCCGACCAGCATTTCAGAAGCTATTCTGAAGCAACAAGAAGCACTAGAAGCTGTCGGCCTCATTTCTGGCAGGATCCTTTTGACATCAGCGGATTTTGTAGTAATATATAGCATAAATTGAAATACTCGTCTAATGAAATATATATATATATATATATTAGTTCAAACTCGTATCCGTAGTCGGGTCATTGCTACCGAGATTTGGGTCATGCTACCGAGAAGCGAAGCGAATAGAAGCTCCATGGTCCATGGAAGCACCAGCGAAACACCGCAGGTGCTTCAGAAGTACTTGCGCGTGCAAAGATCTCAGCCAGGTGCATTTGGCAGGAGTTGACAACAGGGGAGTGGTGCTTGTGGACAGGAAGATCTCGTTGAGGCCAGGCAGATTCATGCCAAAAATCAAAAATGGTCTGGAAGATTGTTTTCCTTTGCCAACAAGTGGTTTTCAGGGTCCATGCGAGTCTTCCAGTTTTTTTTCATTCACTAATCATGCAAGATCTGCTAAGCAGTGGTTCTCCTGGAGTGCAAGGCACGGAGAAGAGTTGGATCTTGAGATTTCGGAGATGTTGTTTCTTGTTTTTTTCTCTAGATGACTTGGGAAACAACATGTGCAGCAAAAGAGTTTGAACCATGTCGGGGAGAAGTCAGCGAAAGGAGGTCTGAAGGTGTTCCTGCAAGCTTCGTGGATCATTTGATATGTGTTCTTCAAGTCAATCTATATAATACTATTGTGTCTCCAATCCTTGCTTTCCATTGTAACTTCAGAAGGCCTCTATATAATGACCAGTCCATCATGGTTGAAGTGTCCTTGCTTGTTTTTTTGCCGCGCTGTTGATGGATCCAGGGGTTTGATTAAGGTACAAGATGGTACAAGAGATCCAGCATGGCTGCAGATTGATCCAACATGGCTGCAGAGCATTCAGTGCCGCCAGTCTCCCTCAAACATCAAAAAAACGCTGGAAGAGGAACTCAGTTGAACGGCTTCTCGATGGAAGACACAACATCAAGAGTGAATTCTTCCATCCAACCAGTGCACAAGACATGTCACTGTCGAATTTGATGCTTAGACTGCTTAGATCCATTGGTTCTAGTTTTGATGTTTCAGGACCATATATGGTCCCACAGCATCCCACAACAGTCTCCACTGGAAGTCCTTTTCAACTTCGCTGTTCGTCAAGAAACAGACCTTCATGGACCGGAGATTGAGCTACTTCATTCCGATGGAGTTCGCTTGACCTCGCCACTTCAGCTTGGAAGATGGTGCCACCTTGAGTTGGAGTTGGATGATGTTCTTGGTTCTATTCGGCCTTTTGGATCAGTTGAAAAGCCACAGGCCTTTGGAAGACCAAGTGATGTAGGTTGGATGATGTTCTTGGTTCTATTCAAGAAGGCCTTTGGACATCTTTAGGACCTTTGGATCAGTTGGAGAAACAAAAAAGCAGAACAACAAAACACCAAACCAGGCCTTATCTTTTGGAAAACAACCCACTGATGATCATTTTTTCTCTCTAGCAACTCTGCACAGGATAAAGGTCTCTCACTCTTGTCTCAGCGGCTCGCGTGATCCTCGTCTCACCCATGGTGCGCCGAGCTGTGCTCCTGGGTGGGCTCGGGCTTGCAGCACTGCAGGCGTCGGTTTGACTTGATTCAAGTGGTTCTGGTTGGGGCATGTTAGGGCTGGAAAAAAGACATGAAAAGTGTTGGTTCTATAGTATAGTATATTCAAGAACCAATTAAGGGGGGGAGGTGAGATGCATTAATATAGAGAAGATTATTGAAAAAGAGAGCCTTGATAGCCTTCAACTCGTTTTGGGCCATTGCCCCTTTGGAATGGTTGCTGATTCCTGAGAGGTTTGAGTTCGGCAGTCCCAGATGAAACGTGCACACCATTGAAAACCCATGTTCCAACAAGCAGCTTCTGCGTGAATTCCAGCGCTCCAAGCAGCACTGGTGCTGCTTGGTTTATGACTGAGTTCCAGGAGGTCTAATGAATCCAAAGTTTCGCTTTGAGGGAATCCAAATTCAAGGCGTGAGCGGTCCTTCTTTGGCAAGGTGCTTACCTTGGCCTTTTCTCCTCGGACACAGAGAGGATTTGGATTCTCAGTTCGACTGTGTGAGGCTGCCGACTTCACCCCTTTGACCGTCCTCAGCTGCTTGGGGTCAGTCCTGCGGGCGGTGAAGAAAGCGGTGCTTTTTTGGCAACAAAAAGGGCAACAGAACTCCTTGTGCATCCAGACCCAAACCTACATAGCGGTGTCGAACACATCACCTGTTGAGAAGGTGCGACTGGATCCCTAGGGAGAAGAAGCCGCAAGCATGCAGGATCTGATTGGAACACGAAGGAGTCGCTGCATGATCTGAGGGTTTCAGGTGGAAGTGGGGTCGGTCTATCGTATTGGGTTCTTAGAGTTTCGTTTTGGGACATTGCACAGATATCATGTTTTGTTGAACCTGGTAAAGACTTGGTTGTAGTTGCTGTGATGGTGGTTGTTGTGGTGGTAAACTAATATCTTATTCTTACCTTTTGGCCGCTCCCAGGTGGACCTTCCGAACCCGACACCGGTGGATCCACCGGGGATGCGAGACCGGTCACATCCGCGAAAAGCCTGGTAGGGACTTGCTGGTGTTTGGTGTTTTTGGTTGGTTAAATCTCCTTCTCTTTTTTTTTTTGGATCCAGGACTTCCAGGTTCCAGGTTCGAGCGAGTCCAAGTGGATGGAAGGAACCAAGATGGTCTTTGGAAACCTGCTGATAGCAGCTTCTTCATGTCGTGACCATGTCCTTAAGTCCTATTTTCTCGATTCAGTGCTGCTGAGCTGCTGGCAAAACAAGGGCCGCAGCTTCCTCAACTTACACTACTAATCACTACTACTCGATCCGATGGTCATCACATGCACTTCTCCCTGGAGAAACTCTCGAAACCGCCGCACCGCGCAGCGCACCACCAAAACCTGAGGTGGCCCCATCAAGTCCAAGAAAGCTGCGCGACCTCCTCGCCAGACCTCCTCGACCTCCACGTCGTCGCGGAAACGAGACGAGCTGTCCGTCTTGGAGGGCGGTGAGGCCGTTCGTAGACCGTGAGCAGGCATCGTTGGAACGCTTTTTCAGGGTGGGTGGAACGCTTTTGAGGGCGGAGGGTTATTGATGAACTCTCCTCAGTAACAGGGAAATAGGAATTGGTTCCGGGGAGGCGTTTGTCCCGTGAGGAAGTTCGGAGTCTTGCGAAGCGGTTCGACTTTTGTATACAAGCAGCATGCCAAACCCAACCACATCCAACCATCTGCATCCAAAACGCAGGTACCTGGAACCTTCTTTGATACTAGGAACCCTCTACCAGGACCTGACCAGGGCCAGGCTCTAAGAGGAGACCCAACCACAGGGGGCTTCTGGGCACCGGACGGACGTCAACAGGAAGCACCGGACGGACGTCAGTCGGGTGCTGGTATACCATCATCGTTCTTGGTGATGAGATCTGTCCCGAAAGGTCCATGTTAGCATCAAGTTCCGATCGAGTTTGAGGCGAATCGAGCTTTCCGATGAACTCGAAAAGCATGTATTTGGGTGACATCGATGAATCAAACGCCCCTGGGTGGTTCTACATCTCCAAGCAAACTTCCTATCAGTCACCTTGGGTGGATTGCCTGCCACACCTAGGACCTAGGATCCTTAATCAGGCTGTGGGTAGCATGACCTGGAGCTCCAAACCCTGGTAGCTCATGTCCGGTGCTCCGCTCATGTCCCACCACCGAGCCGCTGCGAACGCACCGCTGTCAGGTGGTGCCTCCAAAGGCGGGTCACAAGCACGAGCTACTTGGCGCCGGTGTTTTTTTCAAACAAAGCACGGATGGGGATATCCCTACCAGGACCCTCCGCTTCAGGTGTCTATAAATAGCCTTTTAGAGGTTAAGAGGTGTCCAAAAACCACCTGTTGGAGGGTGCTGGTGGAGGCCCTTCAGTCCCTGGGATGGTGCAAAGGGATCCCAACTTAGCAGTGCTGAGGTCTATTTCCGGCCTCGTTTCGTCGTAGCGTCGTTTCGTTGAAGGTGGGACTGGGGTGGCTGCCAGGAGGGTCCAGTCATGCCGAACCGGAGGTACGACGAAGTCGGTGTAGGGCATGGGACGAGCGTTTCATCTACCGGGTACCAACCGGGACATGGAAGAGATGCTGTACCCAAACACTTCATGGTACAAACTGGAGGGGCCAGTGCAGTAAATTTAAATGACAGGCGATGTTTGATCTTGTGCATCTTTGAAGCAGGTATTCTGAGAGATCCTAGCAGTTGTTTCAAAAGGCTTTGCATTGGCTTCCACCGCAGAAGCAGCAAACTATAGCAACACTATATAGCAGATTCCCATAGCATCTCCGGGTCAAGTCCAGGTACCATCTCCGCTCATTTGACTGGGTCAAGTCCAGGATTCCACTCCCAGAAAAGGTGAAGAAGAAGAACTGGTGAAATGGTGAAGCCACCAGGGTGGGGCGCCATGGGGCGCCCATCAACTTGGAGGATGGTCGAGGGTACAGCTTCTGAGGAGGGTTTGAAGCTTCTGATGTGCGAATTCTGTCAGGACGGTCTGAAAATATATCAGATTTATAAGGTTAATCATCCCTATTTGACATAGTCATGATCGCATGTGTTTGATGTTTGATTTGTGTGGCGGGTCGTGGTTAAAAAACAAAAAACTAATGTTTCTTGAAAATGACCGAGCTTGATATCCCAGTTTGAGGTCACAAACGGACCTGGAAGTGACAGGTCACTTTCTGGCACTGCAAAAAGGTCACGAACTGAAGAAGCTGGTATGGCATATATTTGGACTAGTTATTTTTGATTATTCTCATTGTGGGTTGTGGTTAAAGAAAAAGCAAACATAGTCTCGATTCACTGGCTGACATGGTCCGCAGTGTGGGGAAACACCAAGGGTTCCCGTCTACGCTAGGTGTACGCTCATCTACCTGCACGGCTGTTCCTGCAATGCAGCTCAGTATCTGGAAGATGGTTGGGAGCTGCCCTGGACCGGCCAGGAGAACCATCGCAGTTTTGGTCGCCGGTCCAAGCTCAGGAGTCGCAGTCATCCACAAAGAGCGAACTGGACTGCCCCAAATCACAGAGCTGTGGTTGAGATTGCATATACCTGGACCCTCCTGTCGGGGTGTCCAATGGACTACCCCACACTACCTATAGGCTTCCAGACAGGGCACCCCTTGGAGGGTCCTGGTACATGTTTTGGTATGTTGTTGATATCCGGAGCGCTCCTGGACCCTCACATTATGCAGGGGTTCTCACATCCGGTTTCGGTCGAGTCAGGTCGGGTTGTGAGACACGGGTGGCGTCTCGACTGGGACCGGACCTGCTCCACTGGACGGTTGCGTCCCGGGTTGGTTTGACACGAAGACACGAAGCAAGACGTGCTGTGGCACCTCATATTTCACATCATTCATTGACACCTGAAATCAACCACCCCAATGTAACCCTGGGGTGTACTTGAGTACCTTCGAAAGAAGGTGGGACTGGGGTGGGTGCCAGGAGGGTCCAGGTGCCGTACCTGAGCAGGTACTTGGATCCCTAGGGTAATATACCTATATAATACCGGTCCCATGGAGTGTTTGGGACTTTCGCTGTCAGTCCGGGTCGGGCTCGCGGTGCAGGACCGTTGGCCAGGGCTACGAACCGTGCTGCCTGATGCAAAAGTCATGAGGCGACATCGATTGTTCCAAGTCAGTACCCAGACATGCCATGGGACTGGTATATTTACTGATCAGGCCAGGTGGTTTGAAGGGTCAATTGATCGGCATATGACAGACATGGAGTGTCTGCATGGGGTATTGTTCAGTCTTTAATTGGTTGGGGATTGATTTATCTCAGTGACTCATATTATCTAGGGATCCACTGCAACCTTCTCAGGCAAGGTGATGTGTTCGACACTGAGACATGTAGGTGCCAGGAGAGTCCAGTCGTACCTTCTGAATCCTTCTGAAACTGGTACGACTGGATCCCTATAGGGAAATTCAGCGCCATGACGCCGGATGAACGTTCACGCGAACTCGCGACCTGTCGCGCAACACCTGCCAGATCCATGAATTGACCGAACTTGCTATCCCTTTTTTTTCGGTCACAAATGGGCCTATCAAAAAGGTGGGATTGGATGGGACTGGCTGGCCCATGGAAGAAGCTGGTCACATGGAAGAAGCTGGTCTATGAATGTTCTTTTGGATGTTTGAGCAAAAAAACACCCCCATCCCAGTCACTCTGCAGTGCAGTGCAGATCTTCTAAGTCCTTGCAGCCCTGTGATGGTAAATCAGGTTGAGCCAAAACGAGACCCGCGGAGCACGTGCTTCATGCTTCAGAACTCAAACCCGCTCTGAGCTGCGCGAAGTGGGCGCGCTGCGCGAGCTGTGCGCGCTGCGCGAGCTGTGCTGCGCTTGCAGGCAGCCGTGGGGTGATCTGGAGCCCAGCTGGCATGCGTACGTCACTGGGAAGCAAAGCAGTCACAGCGGTGGGAGCGAACAGGAAAAGGTTCCTGGTTCAGGGTCGGGATGAAGCAACAGTTCAGCTCCATGGCACATGGTGGCACCCCAAAAAGAAAGGACCGGTATACTATACTGGCCGAACGCGGCACGTAGCAGCGCCTAGCGGCTAGGGGATCGCTTTCGGGAAAAGCTAGATGTTGGCACCCTGGGAAAGCGAATCTCGCACCAGCCCTCAAAACCATTGACAAAAATAGAGAAACATAAGGGCTTGCACGTACAAGGACCATGTCTTTTGCAAGGGAAAACATGGGGAAAGCGAGGTTCTTTTGGTTGGATTCTGGGGGCCCCTGGTACTATCCCCAGGCCGGCGGATCCATACCCTCTTTTCGGTACGAACTTATGTGTTCGAGACTCTGAGACATGTACCAGGGTCGGGTCCAGTGGTACCGAACCTGAGAAGGGATCCAAACACAGCGCTCTTGGTTGGTCAGTATTGGTTAGTCATGCTTGGTGATTCTTGGCCACTTGGTGATTCCTTCTGTGAATCCTTATAATTAGGGATATTTTTCTGACATCGAGTCATAGCGCGCCATCGTTCTTCAAGAAACAGGACTATAGCTTGGGAGACGCACAGACGGGGTCTCACGACCAGACCACGCACCGTACCGCACCGTACCTCACCGTACCACGCGTCTTCGTGGCAACGGCGTGAGTCGCAACTCCAGCCACCTCAGGTTCGCAGGAGTAGCAACAAGGTCCGAAGCTCAGGTTCGCACGTGAAATCAAAGTGGCGGCTTCGGCGCCCCCCTTCGACGTCCTCCGCTTGCGCAACGTCGCTGACCCAAACCCTAAACCTGGTCGATCCACGGGAGGGTGCCAGGATTCTGGTGATGTTTGATGGAGACAGGGATGTTGAGTGTTGATCCATCAAAACTTTAGAGCTCGACCGATCCGGAACTAGTCTCATAGGGCAATGTTTGTTTCGGGAGAACATCATGTTCTTTTGTTTTTGTCCGCAGCATTTCATTTCTTTTTTTCGAGCGTACCGTCTTCCTCGTTGATACCCTCACTTCACATCTGAACAATCATGACTTGATGTTGATGTTCCATTGGTGCTGGAGGTTCAAGTAGTGTTCCATGGTCTTTAACTCATAACCCACCGCCTTGAACAACTCTCACTTGGTCCTTGACATGTTCTGTCACCACCTGTCACCTGCCAATTGCTTCACTTGCCACTTGCCACCTTTATTTTGTCCAACATGCCATACTCTCAGGTCGGAGACTTCAGCACCTTGAATCAAACTCGAGACCGTTTGGCTCACATCGTTTACAGCGCCCCTGGTCATTGAAGTAAGCGTGATGTGTCAGTTTGTGCTTTCGTTGCGCGTGTCAGAGAAGGTTACGAGGGAGGCAGAATTGGCGCTTTGCTCAGTGGTGATGTTGGATTGCTTGAAATCTTCAACAAAATACCTAGCACTTCCTGTCTGGGTGCCCTGGAGTAGGAGACCTATAAGCTTAAGTATAGGGTAATTAGGCTTGTCCAGGGAGGTGACCCGGACTGGAAGCAGCTGGTATAAAGAGTGCAGACATATACCAGCACCCGACTTCACAGGTGCTTCCTGGTGACAACAGGTGCCCAGAAACCACCTGTTAGGGTCTCCAAACAGCCTGTTGGAGGGTCCTGGTATATATTAAACACCGTTCCAGCCAGTGGGTGCCACTAATCCCGCAAGTCCTCCGATGGAGACCATGGGAACTGGTCCCGAACCAACCCTTCCCCTTTCTCGCCTGCGCACAAAAACCGCGGGGGCGGTGAAGAGGAGGAGTTTCTCCAAGGTGAACAGGTGGAACGTTCGGTCTTCTTCAGCTAAGGCGCCCCAGTCGTCTTCGTGAGATAGTACTTGGAGATCAGAATGAACGAGAGGTCATGTCGTTACACATTTAGACGAAGCACAGGAAAAAACAACAACAAGACATATGAAGTTTCTTGAAATGGGTTGCATCTGGTACACATACGGGCACTCCTACGCCTACGGGATGTTATAAATGGTTGGGTTCCTACGTAAGCCGAGCGCCGAGCGCAGGTGCACGAGATTCACTGGCAGGTTCAGTTGAACTGCTTGGACGCCCCCACTTCTAATACTGCTATAGCAACAGAGGTTCTGAACAGAACCGGTTCGATCGACTATCCCAGTTCGGTACCCCAGGTGACGGGCATTATTTTAGGGTGACTTAACCTCTTTGGGTTACTATACCATAGACTTCCGACTAGACCACTGAACAATGGTCGACCTGGTTTTGTAGTGTAAAATCCTTAGTTGGTTCGGTAAAGGTGGTTGGAAGCCTAGGGTATACACTGGCGTATAGTTGCTATAGCTGGTGCTTCGGATGCAGCGACCCATGGTACTTCGGGTCCGCTGCTGGGCAGGCGGGGGGGATATCAAGGGTGGTCCATTGGTAACCCCGAACGGAGGCAGCTGCGTCCAGAAAAAGCAACGCACACTTGCCAAGTCTAGACGTTCAAAACAAAGTTGTCACTCACGTGCATGGTTTCCAGGTCATTCCCGTTTTTAGCAGGAGCTCCACTTTCCCCTAGCAAAAAAAACTGGTTTCCCCTAGCAAAAAAACTGGTTTCCCCTGTGTGAAAACCATTGAACAACTTTATTGTTTCATGGTTTGGAGGGCCGGAGGAACCCATTTGATTCATCTCATGGCCTCTCCGGTTTGGTTCCGTCGGCGGTCCAAGGAGGTGGAGCGGCTGCATGGTGAAGGCCATCGAGTCTTTCTGGGCGGCGCATCACAGGGCTGTACGGTGGCCCTGGCTTCTCGACTGACTGTTACGTGCCTGGTCGTTGCCGGGTCGGTGGCGAAGCCAGGCTGATCTGCTTCCGTCCGAAAGGGAGGAACCGTGATTCCATGGCCTCGACACATGTGATCATCACATGGACCAGACTTCGAGTTCCTTGGACAATGGAACATGACCCACCATGACCCCATTAAGAGATCCAACACAACAGAGCTTCGGTGGGTGGGGGGGTGTCACCTTCGAGACGATCCCAGACCATCCATGTGTGGTAGTGATTTGTCGATCTCTTGGGCTGGTTTCGGGGTTGAATGTAGACATATTGAAACCTGTTAGGTCCAACAACCCTCAACTAACAGCCTGTTCGAGGGTGCTGGTATATTTTGCCTGGGAGCCCTAGGAGCCCCAGGCAGGGTGTGCACGCACGATCGAAGATTGTCTGAGCAGTGGCGCTCGGAGTGTCGTTTCCTGAACGCGCACATCGAGCACGAGCACGAGCGCCCTCAGGACACCTACCTGCTTCAAGTCTCTCGGAAAGCATGGGATGTGTTTTTGTGGAAGGGCAACTTTAGCACCAGAACGATGATCACAACCAACCTCACCTGAGCTCGGTGTCCCGAAATGGAGCTGCTTCAGCTCGCTGCTTCAGCTCGCTGCACCTTCAGCTCCGGAGGGTTGTTGAAAGAGGTTAAACACCTTGGAACGTCTCAATCAGCTGACATCAAAAGCCGACATCTAAGAGGTCTCAATAGGTATAGAATCCGAAAGTCTTCGGCTCCTTCGGCTCGAGAGACCTTGGCCGACATCAAAAGCTTCATCAAACGATTCTTCAGCTCTTTAGGAACTGGGCTTGGGACGGACTCGCATCGCCGCATGTGGACCGGGTCAATGTACCCATGACAGTGTCAGTCTACATGCCAGATCCACGATGGCCAGACACCTCTCCACTAGAAAACCTCCAGCTGTGCCACCGAACCACGTGATCCAACGCTTCAAATGGATCAACCCCTCCCAACGACAGTGCCCCCGTGCCCGGTGCCGAGGTCGATCTGTCCATCCCCCCCCCCAAACCCCTTCCCGCCCAGGAAAGCCGCACTTCCGCGGCTTCCTTCGAGGTTTGGCCTCCAAATCTGGGTTCGGCAGGGCTTCCCGACCGTCTTGAGGCTCGGAAGCTGCTCCTCGGCGGCTTCGTGGGCTCTGTGGGCTTCCTCCCTACGGACCGACAAGGTGCACCGGAGGGTCCGCGGGGTTCTCCCGCGCGGGAATGGGTCCAAGCGCTGCGGAGGGTGCAGACGCCGATGCCTAAGGAGTTGGGTCAAGGGTGGTTGCCCTTCGTCCATGATGGTCCATGTGACCATGTGGTTCCAACCAGGACCGAAACCAAGAGGTGGTTCTTGGAGACCCCGAATCACCTCGCCTCTAGGAGGTTATTTATAATTAGCCCTAGGGCTCCTGGCCCACCTCCGTTTCGAAGATGGTTTGGGTGGACGCCAGGGGGGTCTAACCACCGAACCTGAGGATGTGGGCCAGGAGCCCTAGGGTAGATGCCTCTACAGGAGGGTCCTGGTAGGCACAATTCATTCGGATACGAGGAGGAGGGTGGAGGGGGTGACCCAGCACGAAGGTGAGGACGAGCGGTTTTTCAGGAACCCAGCTGTGGGCTGGGAGAGTCGATTTTGGGGCAAGATGGAGCCACAGATCACAACTGCAGCAAATGGTGGCAGGCATTCAATGGCATTCATCCCAGTCCCACCAAACCCAAAGGAGGGAATCGGAACCCGGTAGGGCTCGTGTTTTTGTCGCTCGTTCCGATAGCCCAAATTGGATGGCTACAGCTGCTATGGCTGGAGGCTCAGACTAGGCATCTCATCCAGACGATGCATGCATGGAATACTTACATACCTGGACCATCCAGCTGGTTTGGTGTGATTTGCAACACCTTTTCAGGCTTTTGTGGTCTTTTGCAAGCTTTCTGTGCGTTTTGCACCAATCAAGCTGGCTCGGAGGGAGCAACGAGCCGGAGATATCCATAATAGTAGTATCCACCCTAAGAATCCTTGACCTCTCCATGGCAGGGGCCGGACCCTCCATAGCAGGGGTCCGGGCCCTCAAAACCCTATGTGTTTGAGGGTCCGGATTCTTAGGGCATAATATATGTTCAGGGATTCGGGTTGGACTCCATGGAATCCACCTTACTCACCACTTGCTAGTAGTCCGGAAGAAGCAAGTCATGTCCCTAACCCCAAGAATTCATGGGACTGGAAGAATGTGTACCCTCCCTTCAACAAACATGGAAGTGGAACACGGCCTCCAAAGGAAGACCGTTTTCCTCTAACTGGAGGTTCTCCACTTCCATGTTTCAGGGAGGGTACCCACCTTGACCCTGGACACACATCTCAGAATCACCCCAACTGAGCAAATCTTCCTTGTCTCATGCACTCCGGGATCGAAGTTGACGACCCATTGGCCCAGCTTTCGCTTGGTCAAAGATAGAGTCATGGGATGGTTTATTTGGGATAGTATGGTTCCACACTCCCACACCCCGACAGAAGGGTCCAGGTAAATACATTGACCTCTAACATACCCCCAACTGATGGGCAAATATGCCATGATATACCAGAACATGCTTCTTCCAAGCAACCAAAGATCAAACAACATCGCAGGGTCCCTCTTCAATCCCGTGTTGCGCCCAGGCTTCCGAGGCGCAACCCGAGCGCTGGAGAAGTGGCTTGATCAAGAGCTTGATCTCCTGATCCTCTTTTGGCCTGGTAAGTGGCTGTATATCCTAAGGAGACCCCCAATCAATGGGTCTTTTGCCCTGTAGTTTCACGCATGACGATCACTGCGGGCCGCTAAGGGCTACGGCAGCTCCACGAACCCAATAGACTGACTGATCTTTGTTCCAAACCCCGGATGTCGTTGGAGGTCTCCCTATTTATATCAGACCCAAAGTGTTTCCACCAGTCACAAGACGGGGTGCGATCCATGGAGGTAGTCGGGGTGCCCAGCTACTCCACTCACTGGATGGGGACCAAACACCACCCCGACATGTGACTCCTGGCATATTAAACTTTAGAGTTTTGGACTTGTTTGGCGCGGGCTCAAGGTCTGTGTTTTTTTGATCCGCTGAAAATTATGAAAAGACTCGTTTCTGGGCATTTCGGCCAACTGAGTGGGGCTGAGAGTACGGACGACCCGAAGCACATGTTTGATTGCTTTCATATGAATTCATACCTTTTGCTTATGTTGAGTTGGCTTCGCCCATGTTTTTTGGCCCGTTGAATTTGAACACGAAAGCCGCGTGGTGTTGAACTCTTGGACAAAACTGCCATCATCGACATCCAAGTAAAGGTCAGGGTCGTCAGGGTCGGGCGAAGAATTTCAATGCGTGGAACATGCAAAAAGCACCCCGGACATCCCCGGACGAACCCGGTTGATCGGTGGGATTCCGGAGGTGCTGGGGTTATCTCGACTCCACCGATTTTGGAGCTGAAGGCTCCCAAGAGATGTCTAGAGAGATGTCTAGAGGTGTCCAGACATGTTCCAATCGATTCTGAAAAGCCACCCCGAAAGCACGTCCAAAAGCATCCCAAAGCCAAGGCTCATCAACAGCCACAGCCAGCGTCATCGACCGCTTTGGCTGTTCGAGCACCCAGAATGCTGGAAGCCTGAATGGCTATGTGGTGTTTGGGACCTTGAAGTGCTCAGAATGAGTGCACCCAGACACAAGGGACTGGCATAGATAGCAAATATTCAAAAGGGGTCAAGGATGGTGAAGGGAGGTAGTCCATGTATGTCCCATATGTGGAGTAACTGGGGACGGTGGACAGTTGACCCTTGTAGTTGCCTTGGGTTCGGTCCACGTCCCATAGTGACCCATGCTACTTTGGAGGCCTGAAGTGACTGGTCCTGTTGAAGTGCCGAATGCGAGTTGCCTGAGAATCACAGAGATTCTGAGATCATAGTCGTCCACGTGTTGAGTGGTGAAAGCTTCTTGAATGCCAATGATCAGCCCTTTTTGGGGGTCTTGTCCCATCTCCTCAGGTTCGGTGGTATTCGCCCCCATCTTCGAAACGGGAGACCTGTACCTAACCACGCTTTACAATCCTTAACCCCGACTCAGTGTACCATAACCACGCTGTAAAGTCACCAACCCCGACTGCAAGTCCCTAACCACGACCTAACCCTGACAGCAGCCAGCAGCAATGTGTTTTTCCCGGGCCTGTAAAAGACAATTTGGTTCAGGCTTCCAATGTGTTTTTTCACGGGCCTGGAAAAAGCAATTTGGTTCAGGCTTCCAATTTGCCTTTTCCCGGGCCTGGAAAACAGCAAAATGGGTCAGGCTTCCAATTTGCCTTTTCCCGGGCCTGGAAAAAGCAATTTGGTTCAGGCTTCTAATTTGCTTTTTCCCGGGCCTGGAAAAAGTAATGTGGTTCAGGCTTCCAATTTGCTTTTTTTTCCCGGGCCTGGAAAAAGCAATTTGGTTCAGGCTTCCAACTTGCCTTTTCCCGGGCCTGGAAAAAGCAATTCGGTTGAGGCTTCACAGGAGTTCCTTTGGCTTCAGAGCTGGGGGGTGATGCAACTAGACCAAATTGATTTGTGAGAGTAAGGTAAAAACCTGACAGCTGAGGTGAGTTTTTTCTTTAAAAGCAATTTGGTTCAGGCTTCCAATTGGTTTTTCCCGGGCCTGGACAAAGCAATTTGGTTCAGGCTTCCAAGACCAGCGCAAGGTGTAACTAACTTTTAGTTTCAGGTAGTTTAAAGCCTTTACAATTCAATTTCAATTGCTTACAATTCTAGTCTAATTCTATTTTGGTTTCCAATTTCATTTTGATTATATAGTTAAAATTTTGTTTTAATTCCATTCTAGTTCAATGCCAATTTATTTCTAATTCAATGCAAACTGTGAATTCTAATTTCATTCTGATTTTATTCTAGAGAGAGGGTTTTGCTGGGGTATATAGGTTATGTGTTGCTTTCTTCGAGGTTGTTTTCTTAAAACCCAACCCCAGCAAAACCCTCTCTCTAGAATAAAATCAGAATTAAATTTGAATTTAATACATTGGCATTGAACTAGAATCGAATTAAAACGACATTAGAATTAATCAAACCTAAATTGGAAATCAACATAGAATCTAATTTTAGTAGTAAACAACTGAAATTGAATTGTATAAGATTTAAACTACCTGAAACGAAAAACAAAACTAAATTTGAATAAAACTAAATTAGAACTAAATTCGAGATAGATTTAAACGCAGGTGGATTTTTTGTGGGCTAGCATATTATATATATATACCTGGAGCCTCCAGAGTACCTTAGAAAATGGGACATGACCCCATAAAAACAGATACTTGTACCCATTTTCCGGGGTACTTTGAGACTCCAGGTATGTATATCTCCGGAGTCCCGGACCGACCTGCCGCCAGAGTCCGCGTCCGTCGGTGTCGAGGCAATGCGCCACCGATGACGATGAGTTGGTCCCCTGGAGGTGTCGGGGTTTGGGGGTTCCGAATGGACGTGCCGGGCGGCAAAGTGGGGTTCAGAGGCGGAAGGTGAAGGGTGTTTTGTTGTTTTTTTTTCCGGTGTCTCAATTGTGGAGTCTTTAAGTTCAAAGAGTTCAACCAGGTGATATACCCCCTGCGTGAGTTTTTTTGCATGGTTTTACCATTGAGCTGAATTGGGGGTTTGATTCATCAAATCTACGTTGCCTGGAGTCAAAAGTACCCCCAGCAGACTTCAAAAGAACTCCACTGGAAGAGCAAAAAACCCTACAACTTGATGTTGCCAGGTGGAGGAAAAGCGGGAACTTTTGGCGCATCCAGGAACTCGCCCGTGAAGTCCTGGGACCCGAAACTCGCAGCTGTCCTGGGACCCGGTCCTTCAAACAAGTGCACCGGGGCATCTCATCCAACTCGTCTCGTCTCGTTTGCTGCTCGTGGTCGGCCCGGCCCTGCTCGTGCATTGCTAAACACCAGCGATCGCAGGACGGATGTGAAGCCATCGTTGCATGCTGCCACAGGGCGTTTGCCTGGGCTACATGTGAAAGAAGTGACAGGCGAAATCGGGGTTGGATGGACGAGTTGTGACTCCCAAGTGGTGAGGGATTCCCAAGGCAGGAAAAGTGTTTGACCTTTTCGAGTGGGTTTTTCTCCACTAAAATCCTACAGGTGGAAGAAGGTGAACCCCTCCATTTTCCAGAAAAAGATGGCTTCGGGGGTCAGAGTCAGTTCATTTAGCTTGAGTTGGTTTGGTTTTACCCCATTCTTGAACCCAGCTCCACAGGTCTATAGAGATCACTCGAGTCTCAGTTGGTACATCAGTTGGATACGAGTCTACCGTGTACCATTCCCTGACCCGGTCGCACCAAGCAGTTACCGCACGTCATTTATTAGCGCCTCGCGCCGTATCCAGGTCGCTGTGACGAGACAACGAGACCTTTCAGGATCCTCAAATACACTTGGGAAGATTAACATGGAACCTGATGGCATGGACCTTCGGAAGACTATTTGGATCTCTAAGATATTTTGGACGACACAGGTTCCATGTTGATTTTCCCGGGCGTATATATTTTGGACGACACGACGACGAGACTTTCTGTGGTTTGATGTTGTGTCATGAGTCATGACTGTCATCGTTGGTTGCACGGAATTTTAGTGGGCACAGACCCTTTGATAGCGCAAAGAAAGAAGATGGCATGTCATGTGCCATGTTCTAGAGTATAGTGATCCCCAAATAGACAGTGGCACGGTGTCGAAAACTTTTTTAATGGGGATCTCCTTTTCTATCTATTCGGGGACCACGTCGTACTTGAAGTCGGGGTACACGTAGGTCCTTCGGTCCTTTCACCTGGCTAAATGCGCCAGTGTGACCTCACATGGTGGGTGGATGGTGGGCACTTAGATTGGCACCTATGAGGGTCTTGCTTTGGTTTTTCTCGGGTCCCAAATAAGGGGGGATTCCCCGGCCATGATCGCCGTTCGGCCTCGTTGCGTCGTACCGAACCGCTTCGGTTCGGTGAGACGACCGGGGGCCCGGGGGCCCGCCAGTCGGGTCCAGTCATACCGAACCTGAGGAGGTACGAAAACGCAGGTGTAGGGTTCTGGCGAAGAGGTGTTCTTTTCTTTTTCGCACATCCTCGTGGCTCGGCCGAAGATCGAAGAACTCCGCAGAGCTTCAAACAAGAGGTCAGGTGTCAAGCCGAACTTGACGGTGCCTAGATTCTCTCCCTCGAAAACCCCATGGCCCAGCCGGCTTTACCATGAAAGATCCAGGTGTTCACATACCAAAACCATATCTGTTTGTTTGCTATGGGGAAAACCATGCAGGTTGTTGATTGTTTGTGGGGCCCCTCTCATGAATGAGGATCCACAAAGCTTTGGTCCACCAGGTCCCTCCACATTGGGACCTCCCGTGTGCAGGGCGCGGGCACATCTTAGATGAGCCCCTTGGACTGGACGCAGCTGAGCGGATTTGAGGGTCATGGTTCTCCGCAGACACCAACGTCAGGAGTCTTCACATCGACACCCTGTGTTTGGCATATATCCCAAAAACGACCGATGGGACTGCCATATATATGATCATATATGATATGCCTACTCGAATAAGACATGAATAAGGCCTGCAGGTTTCGTTAGACATGAATAAGGCCTTTGACTCGGTCAGCCGCAACACGGTGAGCCTTGCCATTCAAGGCTTGCAACTGCCCCCGGATCTCCAGACCATGATTCACACACTGTTGTCCTATATACCACATAAAAGTTAGTGGGTGAGATTTTGGCCACTCGAGGGATTCGTCAGGGATCAAAAGATGGTCCGATCCTTTGGACACTTTGTATGCACTTGGTGCTCACCGATCTGGCGGCTCGATACTCGTACCAGTGGATTCACAAACATGTCATAATTTATGCGGACGACGTGCATTTGCGATGGCGCACTAGTCAGCTTGCCGATGGCCTCACTGCCCTGTCAGACCTGGACCACATTCTTCGAGTCTTTCGCATGTATGGTTTCTCCATCAACATTGACAAGAGTGTTGTCTTGTTTCGGGCTGTTGGCAAAGGGGCACACAGATTCACCAAACGGTGGATTGTCCGCACCAAAGCTGGTCCTTTTCTGACCATGCCTGACTCCTCGATCCGACTGCCCATGGTTTCGAAAACGGCGTACCTTGGTGTGATTGTAGGATACAGGGCATGGGAAATGGACACAGTAGCACGACGTGCACAGGCCGCTCACATGTGTTTTTCGACCCTGAGGAAGTGGCTCACAGCCCAATGTGTTCCGCAAGGCATCAGGTTTCGATTGTACCACCAATGCATAGTGCCAACGCTCATGTATGGTATTCATGAAATGGGCATCACACAGAAAGGCTTTCGTAAGATAACTAGCATCATCAATGTGCGCTTCCGACGCATGATCAGGGCCCCTGTTCACTTAACACATGAATCCACACAGGACATGTTTTGTCGACTGAATCAACCTTCTTCCTGGGCGATTCTCCAGAGCCACAACCTTCGACTGCGCCAGTCGTTGCTGCACAAGATTCAGCAAGCAGTCGAATTTGCCATGGATGACCAACCTCCCGATGTGATTGCACTGACCCCAGATTATCCCATGAGCCACTTAGACACGCCGAGTGATTCCTCCCAACCTCATGCTCAGGATCCCTCTCTTGAGTGCCCGGAATGTCATCGACAGTTTAACCAGGCCGGGATACTGAAGCGGCACATGCGTCAAATGCACCACATCCCAGTATATAATCCCCTGCGCGACTCATTCGATGGCACTAGTGTCTGTCGTCATTGCATGATCCAATTGTCCAATATGACGACATTGCGTACACACATTAACAAACGTGTTTGCACAGCTTTTGACCTGCATCAGGCCCTGGTGATCCCGATTGTGTCCAGACCTGAAGTGGCCATGCACATTCGTCACCGGTCGTACATGGGCCTGTACTTGGATAAGCCACTGTGCCAAGAGCTTGCCACTCGCTGTGCCTTCTGCAACCAACAGGTCCATGCCAAGGCAATGACCCGTCACTATCGGGACCACCATCAGGAGAAGATCAAACCGACCAACACTCACTTGGAAATGGTCAGAGGATTTGCCAACTTCGGGTCAGGCCGAGGTGAATGCCCGCTTTGTTCCACCAGAACGCTCAATGTCCACACACACACCAGTGCAGTGTGGTATACCAATTGGCCGCCATGACAGCCCACGTGTTTGATCCAGCTCACTTTCCTGTCATGCCATGCATGAAGCGTGCATGGTATCCGTCCTCGACCTCAGGTACTGATCCAGTGCCTGACGAAGCTCCGGACCCAGCCCTGACCTCAAGGTCCACTGCTGCCCCATCCAGTTCAGATCAGGCCAACACCAGTCCATCGATCTTCAAGTGCACCCAATGTCCGGCAGTGTTCTTGTCCCCCCAAGGCCTGACCCAACATCAAGTAGTACATCATTCTCCCGGGTCGACCCCTGCCCAAACGGATAGGCAACCCAAGCGTGGCCGACCTCCAGGTAAAGATACAATCCAGACCCGTTTGGCCGAGACTGCAACAACCGAGATTCCAGTCCCATTGTCTGAGTTCACCTGCCCTTTGTGTCTTGAAGTGATTGGACGAAAAGGTCTGGCCCAACATGTCCGCCTGACGCATCAGGTTGACAAGCCGGAGTCATTTCCCTTCAGGCCCAGCCGTGACATGATGCCGGGCCGGTTGAGCTGCATCCATTGTCGAGCTTCGTTCACGATGCCGTTTGCCTTGCAAAATCACTTTAGCAGGGGAACATGCCCACAGCTAGTCATTCAATGGATCCACGACCAACATTATGGTCCTTCAGTCCCGCTCGAAGTGCAAGATGCCACACCTTTGCCGAGATGGGCCTCAGACTCGGTTTCATGGACATTGGGCATCAGATCCACAGGCCACACACCGGATTGCATGGACATGATTCATCACGTCTCCATGCCACTGTATCATTCGATTGCATTTGTTCCGGAAGCACGCCTTCACTGGTATGCACAGACAGCCAGATGGGTTTCTCACTTCCGCCAACTGCCTCAGGTACTGTTGACCTCTGACATGCTTTTCCGGACGCTAGCATGGATCACCGCGATTGTGCCTTTCCGATGGGCCTGGCACTCAAATAGCATGGACTCCTGGTGGACCCCACAGAACGTTGTGATTGACACGTATTCACACCAACAGTTGACATTGCACCATGTTCTGATGGAGCTCGAACACGTGTTAGCCCGTGACCTGTTTCTCACCGTAGCTGGTAGTCGGGATGGCCGAACATATGTCCAACGACGACATGTCCTTTCACGATCTGGTAGAGGCTCTAGGCACCCATGTGAAACGGCCTCGAACGGCCGACTCAGAGTCTTCCACCCAGACTGGCAAGGGCAGATCGAAACATCGATCCAACTTCTCGGACTCATCCAGGAGGTCCGAGCAGGACGCTTCATTAGTTTAGATGCTGGCGAAACTTTGTTTGAGACAGGAAGACATGATCAATGCCATGTGCTTGGACCGCAGTTTCCTTCTCTTTCTCCAGGCCGGCAAGGGATCCATACTTCCCACCATGCTCACGGCCTCAAAAGAATGGCACACTCAGAAGCAGCAGGCTGGTGTGACCTGCCCTCTGCGGCAGGTGCTTTTCTTGAAAGTGGTGGAGGAGCTAGTGCAATGCATTGGCCGGCTCAATGTCGAAGACAGCGCCGACGCACTTTGCGCCAATCTTCGGAGCAAACAGATTTTGAATGCCCAGAACGAATGGAACTACATGTCGTGGGATCAGCAGGCCAAATGTCTGAGACCCACCAAGCAGGAGACACTTTCTTTTGCTCGCGTCCGGGAGATCCTGACCTTGTTGACACGCCTTGGAGCCAACACCGAGTTGATCCACAAATTTGCTCCGATGAAGCCCATGAACCAAGAAGGGATTCAGGAAGACAGCCAATTGGTGATCCCGTGGCGACTGGACATTTCCCTGCGCAGCCCGGAATCTCACCAGCTGTTTGGTGCTTTGATGGCCCTATGCGGGAACGGCATGGGATAGATGGTGCTCTTGAGGATTCGTACTACCTCCCTCCAGCGATCCCCGCTGGCTCAGGCCATTGCAAGACAGGTGAGAACGTACTCGCAGCTTGTTGACACATGCCTTTAGCAACAGCGGCAATGCGTGCTACCTCAACAGTGTCATGTTGAGTCAGCTGTGGTCGATGGCCGCACATGACAGCTTTACCCCCGCTGAGTGCATGGGGTGAATGGGGCCCGCATCTTTTGTCTTTTTTGACAGATGCTGGATGGCAGTTGGCTGACCTTGTGTTTGATGAGCCTTTTCGTACACTGCATGGTCCTTGGCTGACTGCTCATCCATGGGGAACTCAGCAGGATGCTGCTGAATATAGTGGTTGGTTGCGTGAACAGTTCATGCAACACAGCCCTTGGGGACGACAGGCCAATGGATGGCAAAGTAGGTTGACCACTGGTCATGATGACGGTGGCGCGTTGATTGCACCGATCTTGCTCCGCTGCCCTGACCAAAAGACGTGTTCATTGCAAAGCATGATTCATGCATGGCACCAGCAGTCACCATACACCAATGCGTGTTTATCGGAGCACCCCAACATTTGTCTTCAGATTGAGCGCTTCCCCGACTTGCACACCAAGAATCACATGAACGTTGATTCCCAGGTCCTGTGTCCAGATTCCGATTTTTGGACGAACCTCCGGCCTTGATGTGTACTGGGCTGAGTATCGTATCGTGAGCCTGACCTTGCACTTGGGCGAGGGGCCTCATTCAGGACACTATCAGTCCTGCTTGTTGACAAGTGGAAACCTTTGGATGACCGATGATGATCGTTTGCCCTGGCTGAGTTGTTTGCACCCCGCCATGCAGAAAGATTGCTATCTGATTTGGCTTGTGCCTCAGCTGGGGCTTGCGAAGTTTTGGCGCCGGCCATTTCCCAAACTGGCCGAAGATGAAGATCCATGGACCCAACTTCTCGAAGACACTTTTCGTTGAACTTCGTCGTACTCAGGCTGTGCCGACTTCCGGGGCTTCTGATGCACTCGATGCATCCGCTTTCGTAGCGCTGCCCAACACGGGCCAATAATACATTGGCCGGAAGTGAAATGAAATGAATGATATACATGGAGTGTTTGGGTATATGCCATTGAAATTGCACCCCTTTTTCCAGCACTCCAATGTGCTAAATATGCCAGTCCCATCGGTCGTGTTTGGGTGTTTAATTCTGCCACCCATCCATTTGCTTGATGGATGACACCTTGTCAGCGATGGTTGGGCAAAAAACACTGCATGATTTCACAAGTTGCTTGGACACCCGAAAATCAAGAAGGGTTATTGCCGGTGTTGGAAACTGCTTGGCTTTGACGTGAACTGCTTGGCACTGCTTGGCTGGATGGTTTCCATAAGACGTCTCGTCAAAGTGCCTCAGAAAATGGGTGCGTTCGATGGTGCAAGATGGCTTGAAAAGAGCCATGGGCCATGTCCCATGTTCTAAGGTACTGGGTCAGTCGGGTGCGGGTTGGTCTTATCAACCAATGTTATTCAGCACCAATGCTTCGGCCAATCTAATCCACTCCGGTCATTGACAGCCTCAAAGGCCAGAGACTGTTCAAAGACCTGGCCGCAGATCAACAGGAAAAGACATGGGGGCGGGTCAAAGCTCGCTCCCAGGAAACCATGCGTTTCCAGCATTCCAGCCCCGTCTGCAACTCCACACTCAAGCACAAATCTGTCATTCTGATTCTGGCCTTCCCCTTGAACCTTTCCCTGGAAACCGTTTCATGTTGACCCTGCTCCGAGGAAACCTGCTTTTCCAGCCCCGTCCAGTGCAACCCCACACACAAGCAAAAA